TTTCATTGTGGTTATCATTTTTGTTTTAAGAGATATTGAGAGTTCATGCACCTTCCTGCTGTTTGTTTGCAGCCTAATCACCAAGTCCTGCTCTCCCTCGACAGATCTATGTCGATATCACCTTCCCATCTCCAGCTATTGATCTACTTTTCACCTACCCTAAACCCACTTCTAAAGCCTTCCAGTGCTTCCTCTATTAACAAGTTAGGATTTAAGTATCTATTCCTACATGTTTCCCAGCTACAATTCACTCTTGACGTTATTCCAACCACTTTTATACCTGTTTTCCAATCAATTTACCTACAAAAACGCTTGAGGTTCCTTGGGGGATTGAATTACACCCATTGATCATAACCTTTGTCCAATTCAAATGCCTTAGAACCTTCCACATTTGAGGGATTTAAACAAATCCTAGGATATAAGTGAGCTAAGGGGTGAAAGCCTTTATTTTTTAGGGGGGGGAACTAGATACTAAAGGTAGAAGTTTTGATGTTGAGATGAAGTACTTTTGGTAACAATATTAACAGTACAGATTAAAGTGGAAAGAAAGGTTTGTACTCTCAAAAAGGTCTGTTAAAATCAGGGATCCACTCACATGAACTAGACTTCCAGTTCAGGCAGGCCAGAGAAGGATGATAACATTTCATACCATCTGCTGGAGTAAGAAACATAAGAGGGACAATAAAACATGAAAGGCAGTGATCAGCAAGCATGGCAGCAAGGATGGGTTACTCTGGCAATGTGAACAAAGTAGTGGACTTCGTAGAAGTTCTAAAAACCATCATCAGTAAAATCTATCATGTAGTAGATAAGGAGGAATACACAGGGTGGTGAAATAAGGAGACTGTGAACAGCAGAGGTTAGTTAAAAGATGCCAGTTATTCAGCAGACCTACAGTGTAGTAAAAAGAGGAAACAAAAAAACCCCCCACGCCCATACAATGACCTAAAAGGACAAAGTGAGTCTTTTGTGGATTTTTAAAAGACTTAGAGACAGATTTTAGAATATGCTATATATGCTTTAAAAAAAAAAAAAAAGTATCATGATGTGAAATCTACCCAAAGAACCACTCATATTGAGACCTTGACTACATCTGTCCAGCTGTAATTCATTAGATGTTTCTGATATGCACTTCAGAAAACAAGGAAAGCATCAGTAATTATACTGGGATAAGCTTGCCCAAAAGCTCTGCATTACGTCTGCCCTGTCCTAATGGTTTAGGTACACGTTGGTAAGAAACAAAAAGCATAAATGAGCTCTTTTAAGTTTTACATCCTTGCAAAAAATCTGGGCAGGGAAGCCAGAAGATGATAGCAACCCAGGTAACATAAATGTCCTTGACAGGCCAACATGTCTACGTAAAACTAAAAAATTCTTGCCCTAGGTGCAAGTGTTCTCCTTCCTTAGTTACAGTAAAAAAAAAAACCCAGGGAGCTAACCCTGGGTTTCTGGAATCCTTTTTCTTATATTTAGCATATTATATTTGTGGGAAAAATAGGTCTTTCAAATAGTAAAATCTTTGACATATTAAACTTCCATAAGTATTTTGATAGTAGAAACCACAAGAAATTTCACATTTCACAACCATGTGAAAATAACAGCACCAGAGTGAGCACCTGCATCACAAAGACCTTGCCCTATCTCATCCTCTAAACGTATTCTTGCTACCACAGTTGTGTGCATCCCCTCAGAAATGCAACCAAATATTATCTTAGTATCTCGTTTACTGACCCAGAATACAGAATTGTCTTGTCCAGAACAGTTTCAAACTTTAGATGCTTGTGTCCCGTTTTTTTCCAGTTGCAAAACGTAACAAAAGTTTACTTTAAATAGGCCCTTAGAATGAGAGCTGATGCTTGCAAACAGATCCATCTGCAATGCTTTACTGTAAAAATACATTTTCTTTTCAACTTGTAAAAGAGTAGAGTTCAGGATTCGGGGTTTGGTTTTTTTTTTTATTATTTGTTGTTATTTTTGACTACTGCATAATCACGTCAGGGTCACTTGCTTTTCAGAATCCTTATCTTCTGACTAAACACAATTTTTAATAGCAGTACCACAATGCAGGAAACGTTTTCAAATGAATGATTTACCTATTCTTAGTGATTTTGCCTTTCCAATCTCAAACGGCTCCATAATCAAGGAAGAAGTGATTCTCATTGGAATTAGAAAGCAGTAAGAGTTTAAAACTCTAGAAGACAAACAATTCCTTGGTGTCCAACTGCTGAACAGGAGGATTCTAATTTTGGATTTTTCTTCACTGTCAAATTCAAAATATTCTGTTTTCAAAGAAAAATCAAAATGGTCAAAATGTGTGAAATATGAAAACAAATTGCCATTTTCTTCAAGTAGCAACAAAAGCATTAATTTCAGTCTCTTACTAGTTACTTGTAAGTCTATGCCTTAATTTTTATGTTTTTCTGTTATGTATTTTATTATAGTCCACCTGACAGGTAAAAAAAGGGAAGAAAATACAATTCAAAGCAATTTGTACTACTATTAATCAAGATAGGTAAACTCACAATCACGAAGTAAAGCAATGAAGGATAAAGGCTGTCTCACATACTGTTATGTTTGTTGTATTTCAGAGTAGTATTTTTCGGTCAGAGGATTTGTGTGGTTATATTCTCTTTCTTGTAATAGAGACTTATTTTTAAATTTTATGCTTGAATTTCTAAAAGTAACTTTATTCTGCCAATGTAGGCATCCCTTGCAGAATACACAAACAAGCAGCCATTCCCAACATGACAGATTTCAAAGTACAAGTAAAGCTCAGAAATGAAGCGCTGGGAGCTTTATTCACACAGCAAGCGACAATGTCTACATGAGTAGGGTTAGGCCATAACCGAAATGTTTCTACTGAATCATAAATTACAATTTGTGGGCAAATTCCCATGCAGGCTGGGAAACACCACCTGCATGTATTGTGTTGACCTGCTCATTCTTCTCCTGGCTGTTTCACTGAGGAACACAAATCTCATTGCAGGTCTGAAAACGTTTCACTTCTATTAAAAGGATCCATGATGTCCACTAAGGCACCTCCAAATTAGAGGACAGTTACCACTTGCAAGGACACTTCAAAACCCTAAGGTCAAGTTTCTTAACCATCTAATACAATCAATGGACTTCCACACACGAGGTGTGGTGCTGCCAGGAGCCTAACCAACAGGTGAAAGCAAGCCCACAGGTGTTCGTAACTCCTTGCTTCTTGGGCCCAGAACAACCACTGCCCTGCAGGATGCAAGTGCAGAGCCTTTGTTCAGGATGAATTCCTACAACTCCTTTGGATATATGATATCCAAAGAAGGAAGAGGTTTGGTAGTTTACACAAAGCAGTCCCTAAATAAATTAAGGAATAATTAAAGGAAGGAAAAAGGAACAGTGAATCCTGGAAGATCCTCTTTTAACAACAAACGATATATTTTATTTTTAAAGCCTGGTGTTGCACTAGCCCTGTGCAAGTTATGTACCCTTAAAGGTACACTCCATATATGAGAAGCCACCGATTTATAGTTAGTCCAAAATATTAAGAGTAATCGAATAGTCTTTAGTCCAGTTACAATATTAATAGCCTAAATCAGTCTATTATCGTAGAAAAAATAAAACCTCTAACATAATACAACTAGCAAATGTTACATACTCACACACTCCCTTGTATCTATCCCTTTCTCTAGTGTTGCACACACCTTTCCACTGCCCCTTGGGGTCCTGGGATCGGCAGCACCCTCTTCCACACAGCAAAGGGTCAGGGTCCTGCGTTGTTTATCAGGAGTAGTAGGATGCTGATAGTGAGGATTGTTCCTTCTTCTCTCTAGTGTCCATCTGGGGTAATATTACACATGTCCAAAAATGTTCCACTTGCTATTCTTTCTTCATTGGTTTCGCAATTCCACGCTATAGCCAAATAATTATATCTAGTGTGGTTTACTCACATTGCACAGTTGTTCTTTCTTCTCTTACCTCTAAAAACTTGTTTTGCACAACTCTCTAGGTTGTATTTCTTTAAGGATCAGCACTTGGCCATGGGTGATTTATCTATATCCATGGGGCCTCTGGCATCAAAGATCATAGATTAATTGATTCTACACAAAATAACTACGTATTACTTACTAGCCATTAGCTACAGAAATACATCAAAATCGTTATAAACATAGGTAGTACACCACGCAATTGTACAAACCTAGGCTGTCATTTGACAGTTGCTGTTACAGCTAAAACAAAGCTTAAGGTAGGGCAAGATAAGCCCAGAAAAATCAAGCTCAGTGAGTCTTCATGCTTGCAGAGTTAATACAAGTTATGAGCAATGACAAGACTGTGTTTATGTGGTTACAGGGCTATACCAGTAGCTAGGTCACTCTCCCAGGAAGGGGTAATGTTGTCTTGAAACTCCTTAGGTATCTGATAAAATTCAGGCTTTCCAAATCCCCGGGAGAATACTCTTAACAGCATGATATAAAATACCAGCTCTACTTAGAGCTTCCGCTCACTGCACAGTGGCAGCTGCTCGACTGAATGCCGTTCGTACGTTAGGTGAATTGGGCTTTGGGTGAATGGGTGGAATTTAGGTGACCCAAAGCTGCATTCAGATGGCTGTTTAGCTTAGCAGGACGCATGGGGCTCCAGCCACGCTCAGACATTGAGGAAACTTTAAAATTGAAAAGTAATATACACCAGTAAGTTTTTAGCTTCTTCAAGATGAGTCAGTTGATAGAGCATCAGCTTTTTGGATTACCTTCTTACACACAGGTTTCTAAAGTCTGCGTATGTTCTATTTCAAGCACCAAAACCAGCTCTCTAAATTTAGTGTCAAGATACACAAACTAGGAAGCTGATTTCCCTCAGCTCCTCATGTAGAAGTGAGACAGACAGACTCCTCCAGGGGGTAATTTTGATCATAAGAGCTCCTACTTAATTACCATCCAAATACAGCTAATAAGAAAATACCACAAACTTTTGCTTTGCCGTTTATTTATTAAGAAGAAACATATAAAAGTGACCCCAAAATGGGATAAAAATATTTAAACATTTTGAAGAAAAACAAAAATGTAAGTCAGACAAAAATCACCTAATAATTGGGAAGGAACTTTCATTTTCCCATCCTTCAACATGCCGTGTAAAACAGCATCCTAAAGCAGCGAGACTAAGTACTGGATGCAATTACAGCTTCAGTATCTATCTTTCTTTTCTTCAGCCTATTCAAAGCACTAAAAGCCTGTGTCTTCCAGGTCGTGAAGTGCATATTGCTTAGTATAGGGACAAATTCAGCTAGAGAAGGGAAAGAACTGAAGAAAGAAAAAAACCCAACCCAAACCAAACCAAACAACGCAAATAACACAGCTGCTTAGTCTTCAGTGAAGTATGCCTCCAGTTCCTCCAGGTCTGCATCAGCTGGTGTTTTTGAAGAGGTGGGAGTAGGATTTGAATTCATGCTTTCCTGACTATTACTTTTTTGTTGAGAGTTTCCTGAATTACTTAGTTCCTTCTTCAGTTCTCTACCACCATTTAATAGCCTTTGACTCTCTGTAAAATACTGATTAGGATGATTCAAAGAAAACCCAATGTCATCAACCTGCACATAAAAGGAAAGGAAGAGTGACTTAGTATATTTATTTCAAAAAGTCATCTTTTTCAGATTCAAGAACAAATTAATTAGCAATTTAATAAGTTCTGATTTTGTTGAAGAAAAAAGGCATCAGTCTGTAAATACTATCCCAGTAAATATTAGCATGACACAGATTTACTTTCATCAGAAAACTTCTTCCTTCTTGTTAGAAATAGAACAACTGCTTTGGCATATTCAAACAATATTTCACACTGTCTTTGCTGCAGTAAAGAAAAAAAACTCCCCGAAATATATAAAACAATGTAAGTAAAATGGCTTACCTTTATAGACATAGGACAATTGAATCTACACCTTAAAACAGCATTTCCCTACCCAAAAGATGGACTAAGACAAGTCTAGAGTGCAAAGGGCAGTAGAGAATACTACTAAAGGTTGTAACAACTGCAGAGTATAAATCTAGATCTTAAATATCAGTGTGAAACTGTGAATGGAGACGGGTAGCTTCACCTCTATCCCTGTTTTCTCCAGGAGCCACAAATGCAATATTTACAAGGCAGCAGGCTAAGACAGAAGCCCAATAGATCAAGCTTATCTCTGCTCCATCACTGTCAACATCAGCATCCTGAAAATAGATGCACAACCAATACCAAAGAACATTTAGTCTTCAGTGGAAAAGAATGCAGAAAACTAGCATAAGGTGCAGCATATTTTTATTGCTCCTTTCTACGTAGCAGGTGCATTCTTTCAGCTCCATAATTCTTTGATAAATGGACATTCAATTGATGCTCATCAAATATTTCAAATCAACAAATCTTTCAGTTTTTAAAGTAAGCTATTCTGACATGTTCGCCACAAACTTCAGTTATAACCTTTGTATCTCTTTTCAGGGGCTCAGAAGTTGGAAATGCTTACTTTAAAAGGTGCTTCCACCTCATATTCAGGCAATCTGCACCTTTTATCTGCCAGTCAGTTCACGCGAATACTAAGAACATTTTGAGAAAAACATTGCTCTTAAATGATGTTGAAAAATTTCCCAAACCTGGGATACAATAAACTAAGGAAGACTAAGAGCCATATACTGCTAATTTTCTGCTCCCACTATCTTCTCTTTTTCCCAGAGGGGCGGGGCCAATTCAAGCATAACAGGCAACTTTGCACACATGTAGTATATCATTAGAACATAAACTGTGGCTGATTTAATATCTCAAACCCCATCAGTTTAAATTTTGGCCACTTGTGAAAAATCATAAAGCAGAGAATCGATGTGCATTTTAAATGGAACCCTGATTCAATGCATTACCACTGCCTAGCTTAGCTCCATCAGAAAATCGCAACGTGTATAACAAAACCTAATTCAGACACAAAGATGACATTAGCAACTGTAGTAACTGACCTTGCTTGAAAAAAATTAAAAAATAAGTGACAGGCCTAGCACACTAATTTGGCACTCAAAATAAAAAGCACAAAGCAAAAAAAAAGAAACCTGAAGCTACCATTGAATTTCATTTTAGTCTTCTCTGGATGAGTTTCATCCAGCCAGCTTTCATCCATGCACCAATTTCCATTATGTGGGAACTAAATTACTTCTTTACACCAAAAAGGCTTAAAAAGAAGTGATACAGTGAAAAGCTAGCTTTCCTAGAAGCAGCTTGTAATGAGTTCTATTTTTTTTAACCTTAAAATCTCAGTTTTCTTCAGAGCAATTTAAGATTCACTTTGTAACTCTTAATTTTGTTCTAAACTCTTCTCTCCTCAACAAATTGGAATAAGCTGTAGAAGCAGCTCATCGTATGAATGGAGCATGTTTTCAGAGGTGATTGACAGCATCTGGCTAAAAGCTATTTACAGGTTGTTAGTTAAAATTGTAGTATGACTCCATGTACCCTATTTTAATTAAAAGAATTCTGCCCATTCATTTTATCACCTTTTTTTGAGAGTCTGAAGAGAGAAAGGGGAAGTTTTGTTCATCATCATCATCTTCATTTGTGATACAGCGATACATAAACAATTCTGTTCTGTGTAATTTTCAGCAAGGTTCTCTGAATAAAAAAATTCTGCTCTGGCTAGAAATACCCAAGAAATTTGACCACAAAAATGGAGGTGAAGCATACACAAATCTCCTGGCTTTTTTATGTTCCACTGCTCATGTTACTTTATGTAAGTTTTACAATGCTTTTAGGTAATTCAGATCAAAGCACATCAATTTTAAAAGCTGCATCATTAACTTACCTGTAAGTTATCTGAAACTTACTACCAGAAACAGAGAAACTAGACTTCTCTAACAGCTTTATCCATTCACACCTCTAAATCCATCTGGAATCCACCATGCCCAAAGAAAAGTATATTTTCTGTGCAGGCAAAAATTTAAGCTTACAACGTGTATTGATCTGAGTGAAAAGGCCCGTCACTTCGGACAGAATTGTTTATTCCATCTAGTAGATGGTACTAACACAAGACTTTTTTTTTCACTCAACACATTTTGCACATACTGGCCTTCATACAAACTCTAGTTTTGTATTTCTGTTACAGCAAATATTGTTTTGAAAAACCTGAAGCAATCATTTTGTAGCTACAGTATCTTTGGGTTTTAACCAAGAACTTTTAAAATGACAGCTGATAATGCTGCAGCTGATATTACAGAAAAAACATATGGAGCAATCATGGTGCTACAGTAAATGATATCAATTAACCACATCTCTTTAAAAAAAAAAAAAAATCCAGTGTTCTTGCGATTTGATCACAAAGAGCTAAGAAAAACGGTTTTTGCATATGTTTTAAAATAAACTATTCAAAAGTGATTCTTCTGTACCAGAAAGTTTCCAATGAGTCAGATTTCATTTACTTCTTAAAAATACACAGGATTGGAAAATATCAGTACGCAAGAATATAATGTTTAGAGATAAATACTAATATACAAATAATCGGCCGTTACAGCTGTAACTGCACAAGTAACCAATACAGCAATATTCATGCAAACAACATTAACATCATTAGTTCCTTTGGAATATACCTTACTAACATCGGCATTAGCCAGTTAGGCTTTCTTATTTATCATAATGCTCAGGCTCTTAAAACAGTGGATTTATACAGTGGATTTATACACAATCAGATTTCAAAGCACTAATTATTTCTACAGGCAAGCTGTCACAAGAACATTAATTTAACCTACTAGTAGTTCATAGCTAATATCATCAATCTCTCTTACTTGACTGCGTATACATAGCCAAGATCTCCAAACTGTTGGTCTGGAAATATTTTTCTCTATTTTGAGTTGTCATCCAATTCTATCAACTAAAGTAAAATAAAATCTTGACACATTTGTGACTGTGAAAGGCATTCCTCATTACTGTGAGTATTTACTTTGGGTTATAGCTACACTGCTTACATTTTCAGGGTGTGCCATTTCCACTTTACGTAAGTTGTCTTGTGTCCTCACTTTAGTACAAAATAAAAACTTATCTAAAAGGGATAATCAATATGAAATAGCTTATTATGAACTCAAGTACAAATATTAGAAGTTCAGTTATGATGCTTTCCATATGGCTTAAAATCCAAATTTGATCATCCAGAAAGATACTTCAGTATTTTGGTAGTGTTTGATTGAATGCTTACTCTAGTTACCATATAAACATAGCTTATTCTTGATTCTTCTTAAAATATGATAATGTTTGAAAATAGCTACCCTATAGGCCATTCAGTCATTCTTCTATCAAGTCAAAAGACTTTCTTTTCTTCACATGTATAGCACAGCTTGTCTTGATCAAATTACAGTTCTATTATTTAGAAAATAACTTTCCCAAAAAGGAGTATGCCCTGATATCCCAGAACTTGAAAAATATGGTAAAACCATTCATGCACTATAGGTAGCACTTTTCTTTCCCACACTTAGTGAAAGACTTAACAAATTGCATACACGTACATTTCCTTAACACGTTAGTTCATGCCTGAAGACAATTCACTGAACCACACAAATGATGGTTACTTTTGTTCTGTGGTTGTGAGACAGTGAAACACAAGTTCAGGAGAGGTGTAGCACTGAAGTTAGTAAGTCCAGTTTACACGGAATATGCAGAGAAGCAGTTTTTAGGTAACCTGTGCTATTTGAACCAGCAGCATTGAGGTGGAAAGACACCTCCCTCCCCCCCCAAAAATAGTTCTAAACATTCTCACTCTAGTCCAGCTGGATTTATTAGGGTAGTCTTAGTGCCAAGCACTAGACTACTGAAGCCAACAGTAAAGCTGCTGCCAACATGAGCTTAAGATGCAGTAGAAACTTGAGAGAGGATGATGGGGAGGAACTGCAAAGAGAGCCCTTAAGCAGACATAGCGTGGAATCGACCCTGTGAACTTAGAAAAATACCATAATCTTAAACAAGTCTCCACTACAAAGTCATTCATAGTAGACCTAACCCACATATGCACTGTAACTTTCAAGAACTATAGGTAACACTAACAGCTCTGCCCAACATATATCAAACACCTTCTTGGTAAAATTTTTACATAATTGAAGCTGAAATTCTCCATGTGAGCCAGTCCATTATTTCTAGGAAAATTTTACTTAAGATTGTTCACCTATTTGAAGAAACAATAACAATCAATGTTATGCTGATTGATTCTTCAGAAATTTCCTTCACTGAAAAGCTCTGCTAGTGATATACCGGAAAGCAAGGGTTTGATTGTCTGACTCGGTGTCCTCAGCTTCAGAGACACATCTTTTGACCACCCCATGGGAAAAAAAAAAAATTACTAAAGCGTATAGCTGTAGGACAGAAAAATCATTCCGAGTAGGCTGGTAATAAGTTTGGCAGATAAATTCTCTAAAAAAAAAAGCCCTCATAAGCATGTTTCATTCAAAATACAGAAAGTGCCTTTCAGTGCATTCTGCTTTCTTTCACTGAAGTAAGAGACTTAGCAGCAGCAAAGCAGAAAGATGACTCTTAGTGCAAGCAGCAAAGAGAAATATTTATATCACAAAAAGACTGAAAAAAATAATGCTCTTCCAGAATTTGCCACAGAAGAATGCAAAGATGGCTTTCCTAAAACACAACAGATCTTCGGCACTGTGCTGATTTATCCTTTGGTGAATGTTGACCTTGGGGCCTACAGTCATCTTGGGAAAATATTATTTCTACTGACTTAGCTTTACACTGGGCATGTGTTATCTAAATTTCAAATTATACATAATTTGGAATTTCCTGTTTTATCATTTTCTAAGACTGTAAGACAAAGTGTTCCTCTCAAATTACAGCTGCCAAAACAACACTTAATATGGGTTCAGAGTATACCTTTACTACACATTTACACATATGACTGCAGGAAAATTAGGGAGACAAACACTTCCATTTAAATCAGTGAGGACGGCAAGCCTGTTCCATATTCTTATGTTTGAACTGGATGTTTCGATTTTTTGAGTTGTGGAGAGAACAAAGGTATAAGATGGGCCACGTTCCACTGTTTTTTCTTGACAACAAAGAATCTAGAACCATTGCGAAAACTGGTTTGTTGAATTAAGAAATCACATAGGAGATGGACGGCAGCCATTCACTACCTTCCAATTTTGTGGAGAATCTTACTTGAATATGTTACAGAAGCTTACGATTAAGCAAGCAGGAAAGCTCTGAGAATGTTCATCTTGATTTAAAAACTAATCACACATGACCAAAGACATGAAAAAATATCAAGTGAAAATTAAAAATATTAACTATGTAGGTGCTGGAAGATTAGAGTTTTAGTTAAACTTGTTAGGCCCCTTTTGTTTATTTTTTTAAGATATATCTCAAAATACTAAACGCATAATGGGTTAAAAAACACAATTTGTTTAAAAATGGGATACCGAAAACATTAAATGGCTTGAAATAGACAAAATTCAATAATATTGACATTTTCAGGAAGAAAGCATAGCTTTTTCCTATATCTTGTAATGTTCAGGTTATTAATAAAATCAAGATATAAATGCAGAAAAATACGAAAGAATATTTGAAAATATTGAAATGAAAACTAACACGGCAAGACAGCTAATGATGGATGTGAAAACTGCAAATAGTCTCTGGACTTCATGCATGATTTCCAAGGCCTTCCTCAAGACAAAGATAGTGATTACAGTATTACAAAAATTAGTAGCTACTTACATCATGCGTCAACTCAAAGTACTTCTGACAGGCCAGCTGGTAATGCATGCCCTTCACCAATTCCAGGATCTTTACAGAGGGAGAAAAATGTAACTGATTCAGAAGTAGCACATGTACAGTTTGTTGATACTTACCATGACAAGGTACTTCACAACAGCCTTGTATAGTAATAGCTCATGGAAATTTGCAGCACATGACATCTTTGACATGTGTGTATGCTACTAATAACTGACAACATTTAGACATATTATAGTTCTTTAAAAATACCCTGGCTACATTAAAAACAAGATAAAACCACAGGAAGATACACCTGGTCCTTAAAACGTAATTTCAATACTCTTAACTTCAAGAATAAGTGGAATCTCTATTTTGGTAATATAATTGTGACAGTTATTGTCAAACTATCATATTGCAACATCTCTTCCATAATTGCAGACATAAATCTAGTAATTCAAGTGGTTGAAGCATGAAGCAGTCAAGGACACGATTTGTATTTTTATTTTCCACATTACCAGTTCATGCAGATGTAAAATACTACTGTGCTCCCATCAAGAAAATTTAATGCAAATCCTTTAGACAAGTATCTGTGAGAGGGGAATGCTTTTACCTTCAATCAGATTTGTCCTTTTTGAAATGAAGTTATTTCTAGTCAAGCTCAGCAGAATATGTGAGTGAATAGCCTGTTTCGAACACCTATTAGGAAAATCATGCCATCTTTTGTAAATACAATTTGCTTCCCCATTCTACTTCAGGTAATCTCTTCTGTGCTGCATAAAGTCCCATTCTTATCACCAGAATGCAATGCCGGCTGAAATTTTTTAAAATTTCATCACCTCCTACCTCCTTTATATAATCAAAATGTATGCTCTGTCTGCTTATCAAACAGAGAAAATTGCTGGAATTAAGAGATAGCCTCAGTGGAAGGAAAAATAGTTTTCAAGAAATGTTAATTTCAAGCCCCTTTCCCAAGGTTGACCTTTGTGTCAAACACAGCAATACACTCCAGCTTAAATCCCTGCTGTAGTCATTATTGGATCCCGCCTTGTATTTATTGACAGATGTACAAATAAATTACATTTGCTGAATGGATAAAAACAGCAACACACTGCCAAGAAAGTACTTAGCCGCATTGTTTCTCTGTAATAGCCCAACTGATTACATTCCTATCCCTCTTGCCACCTCCTTTTACAGAAGATGTAACAGATCAAGGCCAAGGCCAAGTCTGAAACCTGGCACTATCTGTGTACATATATATATTTTTTTTACTTCCTCCCTCCTTTGAAATTGACTGAAAAAATTAGTGTCATATTAGTTAAGAATTGAAGAAAACTCATCTATTCTAAACACTTCAATTACATACTGCCTTATGTTTTCCTGTTTGTTCCTTACAATAAAATCTATGCCATGCAAAAGAACTATCTCTATTTTTAAGTAAATGCTAACTACATTGTACGTATGTACTTTTTAAAAAAGTATTTTTAACATAATTTGGAGTAGTGATCAGAAGACCTATATGTCTGTTGGTTAGTTGAAAGAAACATTCATAATGTTCTGTAGCATTCAGACTTTTCTAACCTGAATTTTCCAGCTGAAATAAGTCAACTAATTTAATCTAGTTCATAAATACTTCAGGTTTTCTCATTTCTCAAAATTATTCTTCATTTAATAAAGATTACACCTAATATCAATTATATAAAGTTCTCTAAATTCAGATGTAAATATATTTTAAGTCTCATAACCTTAAGTGAGCAAACAAAAACTTAAGTATGGACAAATTCTGAGTATAAACCCAAAAAGTTTAAAAGCATGAAGGTTCTCTTGTAATTTAAGAGAACTTTTTGAAAAAGCTGATGAGTTAAAAGGCTAGTAGTCATTCTGTGGTTTGTTTAACTTTTGAATTGCAGACCACAGTTATAGCTGCTTTTTGTATCAATGATGACGTTATCTAACTATCCCGAAAAGCAGAAAAGACATGGATTATCAAAGCTAGCTCTTGATTTACTAACTCACAATGATTCACAGATGCGAGATCAGGCTGCTGTTTCTTCTCCGACAGTTCAGCAGAAAAATGGTAACTTCAGGTGACAGATATCAGAAAAGGGATTACTGACTGACACAGTCACAGATGATGACAGAATATAGGGGCACTTATAAATAAATCCCAGTTTTGAAAGAGAGATTATTCTGAGTAAACTATTCTGAAACGATGCCCATTTAAACCCTTGACCCATCCTTGGGGAAATCTTGACCCACCTGTAAGGTCGAGAAGAGGACTTCACTGAATTGATCCTGCCATCATATGAAAGCTATCATGGTCACGTTATCAGAGCTGGCCTTGAGGGACTTTAAATTCTTAGAGAGCATCCATGTTATTTTGCAGCAGTTTGATCTTTATTGCCCAGCTACAGTGCAGTTTCACCATGGAACTACTGTCCCACTCCCTCTAGACTCCTTCTCAGACCTCTCAGAGGCTGCTCTTAGGTCACCACACAGATTTTTCTGCTGTACTACCATGAAGACATATCTTGGAGAACAGCTGTTAGAGGAACCTCTACCAGCATTCTCCAGTGAAGTTTGTTAACTAGTTCTTCACGGTGTGTCTTTTCCCCGACATTGATAGAGTGCTCCATAGAACAGAACGCCCACCAGAACAGACCAGAGACTTTCATCCAGTTTGTTAAATTTATTAACATACATGATTGCACTGGTAGTCATCTTACTCCTACTCCTTTACCCTCTCCACCACATCACCTCCCCAACTTTGACTGGTTGGCCAATTTCAGCCAAAAATTGACAGGTAGGGATGACAAAGCTATACAATTCCTACATGTTGATTACAAGTTGTGGTTGGCTAGAAAAGCCGGACCAACATTTGTGGCTCATTCAGGGAAAAGCAGTTATAACTCAGCTCCTACGCATTCTGAGGCAGCCAGAAGGCAGCCAAACTAGCCCATATGTAACTTTGAACTGGCCACATCATGGGGAACCAGATTCACCTTCTGCATATATGATGGGGCTGAGTAATAAGGGCCACATTAAGCATATCCAAAGAAGAGCAGGTTTAGTAGATTAACTGGCTTTAATAGGGAACAAGTTGCTAAGAGTAGAGACAAAAAAAAGCTAAAAATTGCAATAGAATGGAGTCCAGCTAGAAAGGAGTGCTCTGTGTGAGAGAAACTAACAATCCTCTACTTAAACAAAACAGAATTATAATTCATAATAAATATATCTTTCCTATTACATTTGTGCACATAAAGAAAGCAAGCTTGCAGCTGTTTTTCACTAGTGTTATCCAGAAACAGACCTCCACTCAAAACTACCTTAATTCACAGCAACAATCTTTTGCCTCTACATATATTAAGACATTTACACTAAATTGCTTTATTTGCAAGTAAAGGTACATACTCAGGGACTCTTCTTCTTAGCTCTTATGTGCCTTTTCTTTCACTGCCATCTGCAACTTGTTTTTCTGATGGTGCTTTACTGACTACTAATGAGGTTAAGATGATGTTTGGCAGCTGTATGCCGCCACCTGCTTTATAGATCCTCAGCATTCGAAGCTAAGACATTGCATAACAGGATAGTTTGGGCTCTGTAATTATCCATTGTTATTTCCACTTACTCAAAGTTAGTTTGTTTTATTTGAAAACTGCAGAATTAACTTATATTTTCGAAATGAAAATCTTCCTACTGTAGAGTCAGTTAAGTATGACTCATTTCTAACTTTGTTTTTATATCAAAAGTGACTGAAAATATGATTGGGTGCAACTGCTGGAGTGTATCTGAACACATTCCAGTTTTCTTCGGTTTCAAGTCAGTTTGCGATCACCTGAGCATCAAGTCCTGCACCAGGACCCCCCAAGCCCCCTTGCTTCCTGCTCAGTACAGGCATCTGTCCTTTTTGGTGCTTTTGGATATGCCCTTTATAAACTGATTTTGAAGGTTTCATGTTTATAATGTGTACACGCATAGTACAATTTTCTCAGATTTAAGCTCTGTTTTCCATCAGGGACTCACTTACAGGCTAGATAATCATTGTTACAGCTTTGCCAGAGCTCCTGTTGCTTTTATACTCTTTGACTTGTCTTTTGTAGTGAAGAGTACTTGATCGCACAGTGTTCAGCTTTGCACATGGTAATATTTAGGGCACCGTAACACATCAAATTCTCCCTTGCAATTTGCATCAGAACTGTCAAACAACAAAACCTAATTGTATTCTAGCATGCTTTATAAAGGTATAAAAGAAAGAAGCAGTCATGATCCAGAAGAAGGTATTTTATTAATGTCTCTTAAAAATACCTGTATGTTTTCCTCCATTTTTAATGTATAGGTTTTCCAGCCTCAAGTTCTTATTTTATGTATGTCAGTAAGGAACTCATGAAAAACTTAACAAAAGAGTAAGTGAATGTCTGAATGAAAAGAATAAGTCAATATGTGCCCATATTTGCAACCCCTGGGCAGCTTATTAAATGAAGACAGACATTAATTTAAACTGAGTTAATAATTTTAAAAGGAAACAGCTCTAATGCTAGCTAGTTAGTTTTGCTTGCTTGCTTGGTTGCTGTTTTTCGAAGTTTTATACAGTCACCTGCTGAAAGTCAATGGTGTGAACATCAAATGCAAGAAGAGTTAATGCACCTGAGTATCCCATTTCTCTGATTTCACATAGTTTTAAAATAACGCTATAAAAATGTGCGGTTTACAATTAGAAATTTCTTGGCTATTTTTCACTGACATATTTTCATTTGACTGACAATTCCTGCATGAGTTTACAGCCACCTGTTTTAAAAGACAGTCATGCCTGGTTTTAGATATGTTGCAATGCTGTGTCAAAGCCTGGACTGTTATCAAGTATGAAAGCAAGCATCTGAAATACTTCAAAATAAAAAAAAGTTACAAAATAAAAAAAAAAGCATTTGCTTCATGTACATTTTAAGTTTGCAATATAACAGTTTCAAGAACAATGAGCTGAAACATTCTTATTTCACGTTCGTTCTTTGTTTTCTCATCCTGAACTCTGTGTTTATCCCTTTAACTTTTTTTGTGTGCTTCTTTTTTCCTTCTTTCTC